GATACGCAAGCCGAATTCAATAACTGTTTTATTATTCATTCAAAATAATTCCTAGTTTAAAAACATAGCTAAAACATGCTTAATACCTCCATCGATCCATCGATGTTAAGTTCATCATCAATAGTGTACGTTTAGGTTTTGTCCAGCTCCGCAAATATTCTCCAAATAGCAGATGTCTCCCTTCGAGTTGTCTTCTTGCTGTTCTTGCCATGTTTTTAGCCATTTTTTCGCCTAGTTCTTAGTCTTGAAACGAGTGAAATGTCCGCCATTTTTTCAAGTTCACAACCAAAACAACACAACCTCGTCCCCAGGTCTTCTCGGTTAACGGTGCCTTAACCTGCGAAAACGCTGCATTTTTGACGTCATTTGCTCGTTAAAGTCAAAATTCTTCCAAATTTGGTCATCAGTAACTGGTTATGGTGAATTAAACGTGTGCTTTTAGCCAATCAGAATCGGGAAAATATTTTGAATGAATAATAATTATATATATTAGTCCTGCAACCAGCATTCATAAATTTAAGTGGGTAGTAATTTCTTGTTTGGTGTTCCTTCTGACTGAAGTAATTTGGAATTTCTACTTTGAGGGTGCAATTTACAATCTTATACAAGTTTTTTAATCTTGTTTGTTTCCTTCTCTGTTTCAATGATGGCCATTTTTTTATTTTCTTGTCGTGTATTAGATTTCAGATACATTTTCTTAATCTTCATTTCGCGCCAGAATAAATTAGTTTGCGAGCAAAGGGCTCCTAAAAAAATCACAAGGTTTGTCCCACTTCGAGTCCACCTTCTGGAGATACGCCGGCTTGCTAGCTGGAATACATTGCCGAGGCGAAGATCTGGCATTTTTTCCTCCACGTCGTATTTTCTTCACGACAAATGTTTATATTTGTATTGAGAATGCAGCTCATATCGATGGATTTTACTTCATGCGGCTTGCTACTACTGAGAGAAGAGTGCCGGATTTCATCGTTTTTTTCATCTTTATTAGTGTTGGCAAATGTAAGGTAAATGAACCGACCATTGTATGGTAAGAATTGAAGTTTTAAATTTGTTACTCGGCGAAAAATCGTGGAAGTGGAATTCGTGAAACTCGTGAGTATTACCTCTGTTACCTAATGTCATGCGATGACTCCTCGCTTTTTCGATGCGTAACACGGATACAAGCGATAAATTTCTTTCGCAAAGTGGGGGCATGATGAAGTATAATTTACTTAACGAGACCATTTGACGAATATTTCTCGTTATATGCTTTATTCATATTTGCTTGGCTTATTCAGGCTACATGCCAGGAGTTTGATGACAATGTTTGTGTGCTATAATTATGCTAAGTTTTTGCACCTTTATATTGAAACTCATGTAAGCCAAAAGTTTATTAACTCTAGCAAAAGACTCTTCTATTATGGAGGAACTTTTAACGTCTTTCGGGGCCCTAATATGGCGTCAAACATTTAGCGGAAACAAAGCTTGATTTTTGGCCAAACAGACTGTAGCTTTTTTGTCTTTGAAGAGAGCGCGAGGCAAACGTCCGTGAGTACAGTGTAAGCCAGTGATTCTTTAAGTAGAGCTAACAAACATAGGCTGCACTTTAGGTGGCACACCATGGGTGCAGTGTAACCCAGTGATTCTTTAGGTAGAGCCAACAAACATAGGCTGCACTTTAGGTGGCACACCCATGGGTGCAGTGTAACCTAGTGATTCTTTAGGTAGAGCTAACAAACATAGGCTGCACTTTAGGTGGCACACCCATGGGTGCAGTGTAACCCAGTGATTCTTTAGGCAGAGCTAACAAACGTAGGCTGCACTTTAGGTGGCACACCCACGGGTGCAGTGTAACCCAGTGATTCTTTAGGCAGAGCTAACAAACGTAGGCTGCACTTTAGGTGGCACACCCATGGGTGCAGTGTAACCCAGTGATACTTTAGGCAGAGCTAACAAACATAGGCTGCACTTTAGGTGGCACACCCATGGGTGCAGTGTAACCCAGTGATTCTTTAGGTAGAGCTAACAAACATAGGCTGCACTTTAGGTGGCACACCCGTGGGTGCAGTGTAACCCAGTGATTCTTTAGGCAGAGCCAACAAACATAGGCTGCACTTTAGGTGGCACACCCATGGGTGCAGTGTAACCCAGTCATTCTATAGGTAGAGCTAACAAACATAAGCTGCACTTTAGAGGGCACACCGATGGGTGCAGTGTAACCAGTAGTATAGGGCGCACCGAATTATCCTTATTTTTGAGCAGGAATCTCATAAGCGTGAGCAGGAATACATTAACGCCGATGACGTCTTAGGCTATTGTCCTCATCTCATGAATAAAATGCGGTGGATTTAATTAAGTATACTGGTTTGACCGGTTTGTCAGGTTCCATTTTTAGCCTGGTTGATATAACTGGTTTATTTTTGTTTTATGACATAACCTATTGTCTTGAACTCATGAATAAAATGCGGTGGAATAAATTAGCGTCTATGTCGTAATACTCTATTGTCTTGTACTCATGAATAAAATGAAGGGGAATAAATTAGTATCTATGTCGTAATAACCTATTGTCTTGAACTCATGAATAAAATGCGGTGGAATAAATTAGCGTCGATGACGCAAGAGTCTTTTGTCTTTATTCATGGTGCGGTGGATTTAATTAACGTGTTCTATATTTAGAATGCTGGTAAAACCCGTTTGACAGGCTTATTTTAGATCGATGATGTCATAGTTTATTGTTCTTGAGCTTATAAAAGCTCGCTTTCTTCCAAGCACATCATTCGCAAGTTGTGAGTTTGAGTAGTTATCATGGATTTTGATACCACTTTGAATGAGTTTGCAAATTTTATCTGGCGCGATGAGACTCCAAGCGATCAGATGTTGGATCGAATGATGGCTTTATGCTTTCCAGAAGGGGTAAGTTGAATTTTTCACTTATTAACGCACTTATTAAAGTTAATCTTTCCCTAACAAACTATGTATTTCTTGTAGACTCAAGATTCATCGTTTATTGAAGAAATGATGGAGCCATCTTTAAACCAAATATAAAGTGCAGCATGCAGGAAACGACATGCAGAGGTAAGTGTAAGTACTTGATTTTCTCCCGCTCGTCAAGGTAGTTAATATATGGTTTACTCTCATTCTATAGGATGATGTAGACAAGTCTCCAGCTAAAATGCCTCAGTATGAATGTCCTACTTGTAAAAAAGTCTTTACACGACCAGATAACTTAAAAGAGCATAAACAGATCCATTTCAAGGAAAAGAAGCACCAATGTTCCAGGTGTGACAAGACATTTCATCGGAGATCAAACCTACTGCGCCACGAGAAGCAAGTCCACGAAAAGCGTGCTGCAGCTAGAGAGTACAAGTGCAATACCTGCGGAGAGCGATTTCATAATCTGGCGCCATTCCGAGCTCATCAGAAGACAGCTCACAGCCAACCCTCTTTAAGTAAGAAACGTCCAAGGGACGAGGAAACAGGTAGGAAGCAGTGTACTTTTCTGTTGTATTTCAGTGAGATAAAATTATATTTTGTGTCAGGGATTAGTCGTAGGTAACTTTTTACTTGCTTCTTGCAACACAATAGAGGCTATGGCATGTTTGAACATGTCTTTTGTTTGAAAGCTGCACCGTATGCAAATTTGAGGTGAAGGCAGTGGAGTGGAACAATTGGATTAGTCGTATGCTAATTTTTGAAGAAATGGCAGGGCATGTTTGAACACGTCTTTTGTTTGGAGTTTCACGATGAAAGAAGTGAAGTGGAACATAGGATTAGTCGTATGCTAATTTTGAGTGTCACAACAGCAAGCTTTATTTACGTGACTGTAAGGAATTATTACTGTATTTCTTTAAGAATGATTAATGTACTTATTAAGTAATTTATTAATATAACTAGACATGACGATCCGATTGCTTATTGTAGTTAGTAGAACATGTTTATTGTATTTATAGTATTTATAAGAACATGTTTGGACAATTGTTTTGGAACCGATAAAAAATTATTCACTTGGAAAGTTTGTGTGAATTAGGATTTTATATTTCCTTCAGGACCCAGCCCCAAGAAAATGAGGCCAAGCCCGATCGAGAAAAAAACGAGTTCTGGCTGGCAAGAAGACCCCCGAAACATGACTGACCTGCCCGAAACGCAGCAAAATCGTATTCCCGAGTATCGCCGCCACTGGCATCAAATCCGTACTCGTTTTAGTCGCAGAAATCGTCTTCTCGACTGGTACAACTACCGCCTATCTTCCCTCCAACCCCAAGAGCTTATAAACCACCTCGATCAGATATTTACAGATCAGTCCACCGTGTTCAAGTTGAATGTGTCCTTTGGCTTCATTCTGCGAAACAACGAGACCGGCGAACTACAATACCTTTACGCTTCTACCAGATTACAACTGCAGCCGATCTTCAGCAAGTTCGCGAAGCGCTCCAGAATATTGACATACTAGAATGGGTACGCCAGCAACGCCCCAACTCTAAATGGATTGTCGATCAGGTGACCAATATCACCTTCTTCATCACCAAGCTTCGAGGTCATCCCATCGGCCGTGGCCAAAATCTTCCCCACTACATCGTAAAAAATCGTGGTCTGGAAGCTTTAGAAAACAACTTCCAGACTGGTAAACCATACAAAGACAATCTCTGTTTTTTCCGGGCCTTGGCTGTTCACAATGGTTGTCATCCGAAAAATCTGGAGCGGGATGCCAAGCATTACTATGAGAAATATCGAGAATTTTTTCTTGAGAAAAAGAAATTTTGTGGTGTAAAGCTGAAAGAACTGATAGACCTAGAACACCTATATGAAGTCAATATCTTTGTATATGCATTGGAGCCCACCAAACAAGATGGAGAAGAAAATGAAGACGATGAACCCGATGATACCAAGCCAGAGATTGCCGCTGAGCTGATCCATCGATCTCTTTGCCACTATCCAAGTACCCTCTACCTTAACCTTTACCAGCGCCATTTCTCCTACATTAAAGATTTGAAGAAATACGCCAAATCTTACTGCTGCTCTCGATGTGGGAAATTCTGATACATGTGGGTATGTTACATCGTCACGAGAGAACCTGCGAGGCTAAAGTCCATTACACGTTCCCTCGCGGTGCGTACAAGACGCCACCCACCATCTTTGAGCTGCTCGAAGATGAAGGCTTCACCATTCCACCACATTTAAAGTACTTTCCATACAGAGCCACCTTTGACTTCGAATGCATGTTTAATCGTCAGACTGGCCTAAATAATACCGAAAAACTCACCTGGAACGCCAAGCATATCCCTCTAAGTGTCAGTGTCTGCTCTAATGTCCCAGACTACGACCACCCCAAGTGTTTTGTGTCAACTGGGGACTCCAAACACCTCGTCAAAGAGATGATAGACTACCTAGTGGAAATCAGTCAAAAGAGCTCCGACCTGATGAAGCAAGAGTTTTCATTCCTATTTGAAGCGATAGACCAAAAGCTAGAAGAAATAAAACAAAAGTCAGAAAAACAGACAGGAGAGAGTGGTACAGACGTTAGCGTCCAAGAAGATAGCGATGATGAAGGAGAAGATCTTATGGAGACCGATGATGAAGAAGAAAACATAGAATCTGAGACAGAAGAAGATCGTGCCTTCCTGGATGATGAAGTGGAAAGTGAGCAAGGTGCCTCGTTTTACCGAGCTTTAGATCGCGAACGCGAGAACCAGAGTGATGATGAAGAGTATGTGGACGATAAACCAGAAGCGAACCATCCTGAACCTCAGAAGAAAAAAGTCCACCCCTTAAAGAAGCTGAGAGAGAGATTCGAGGAATATCTGGAAGAACTCCCGGTTCTTGGTTTCAATTCTGGAAAATATGATTTGAATGCTGTGAAAGAATTTCTCTTCCCTGTCCTGGTCCAGAATGAGGAAGTACAGTTCACCATAAAACGTAACAACAATTTCATGTGCTTGAAGACCGACCACCTTCGCTTTCTCGATGTCACCAACTTTCGTGCTCCTGGGTTCAGCTATGCCAAATTCCTGAAAGCGTACGAATGTCCGCAAACCAAAGGTTTCTTCCCATACGAATGGATGGATTCGCTTGACAAGTTAGACCACCCTTCTCTTCCTCCTGACGACGCCTTCTTCTCTACACTGAAAAACGAAAACATCACAGAGCAAGAGTACCAGTACTGCCAACAAGTGTGGTCTGACAACAACATGCAGACATTTAAAGATTTTCTGATCTGGTATAACAACCTTGACGTCCAACCCTTCTGCGATGCCCTTGAAAAGATGTGCGCCTTTTGGAAAGACAAGAACATTGACATGCTGCGACAAGGAATCTCTATCCCCGATGTCACCTTGACTTATCTGTTTACAATCCTGGAACCTGGCATTTTCTTTTCTCTCTTTGACGAGAAAAATAAAGATTTATACACCTTGTTCAAGAAAAATATGGTAGGAGGCCCCAGCATCATCTTCCACCGATATCATGAAAAAGACAAGACCAAGGTCAGAGAGAGAGAGAAAGAAACCAATGGCTGAGCTGAGGGAAGAAACTACAGCAAATTCAAAGTATATCAGAGATCAAGGCTACAATCTCGTGGAGATGTGGGAGTGCCAGTGGCGCCGAATGAAAAAAACTAACTCTGCAGTACAATATTTCATGAACAGAAAGTTTCACCGACCCCTTGACCACCTCCAGACCCTGGATCAAAATCAGATTATAAAAGCTATCAGAGACGAGTCTCTCTTTGGTGTTGTCGAGTGTGACATCACAGTACCTGACCATCTGAAACCCAAGTTCTCCGAAATGTGTCCAATCTTCAAAAATACGCAGATTTCTAAAGAAGATATTGGTGAATACAGGCAAACCTTTGCCGAGGAGCAACATATCATGCCTCAACCTCGTAGAAGTCTAATAGGTAGCTATTTTGGAGAAAAGATCTTGTTGGCCACACCACTCATTAAATGGTACTTGGAGCACGAGTTAGAAGTCACCAGGATTTACCAAGTGGTCGAGTACACACCCGTTCCTTGTTTCCAGCCCTTTGGAGAAGCTGTCTCCGATGCCAGGCGTGCTGGGGATGTGGACCCGAACAAAGCCATCATCGCAGATACAATGAAATTAGTAAGTATGATTTCATTTGTACAAGCATTTTGCCACTTTTTTCCTTATGCAAACCTTACTAATGTTCTGATACATTATTTGTTAGGTCGGGAATTCCAGTTACGGCAAGACGATCACGGACCAAGAACGCCACAGAGAGGTTAAGTTCTGCGAAGAAACAAAGGCCTCAGGGCTTATCAACACACCCTTCTTCAGACAGATTGACCGGATCGAAGAGAACACTTATGAAGTCCAGTCTTGCAAGAAAACGGTCAAGTTGAATCTACCCATGCAAATCGGATTTTTTGTTTATCAGTATGCTAAACTCAGAATGCTTCAGTTCTATTATGATTTTCTTGACAAGTATTTAGATCGTAGTGATTTTCAGTATTGTGAAATGGATACAGACTCTGCCTATATCGCGATCCCGGGTCCATCAGTTGATAGTTTAGTCAAACCTGAGTTAAGGGCAGAATTTCAAAAGGACAAGTTTAACTGGTTCCCCAGAACCGATACACCAGAGAACAAAGCATATGATAAGCGAACACCCGGTCTTTTCAAAGAAGAATGGTCAGGGGAAGGAATAATCGGTCTCAGTAGTAAAACCTATTATTGCTTTGGTTCCTACGATAAGTTTAGTTGCAAAGGAGTAAACAAAACATGTAATGATATCAATAAAGAAAAAAATCTTAATGTTCTACTGACCAAACAAAGCAGTTCAGGACTTAACAAGGGTTTCCGTGTAGTTAATAACAGTATGTATACATACGAACAAGTTCGTGATGGTTTTTCGTACTTTTACCCCAAAAGAAAAGTATTGGACGATGGGGTAACCACCATTCCATTAGACATTTAACGCTGCTTTGTAAATAATTTCTTGTACATTGATTAGTTTTGTTCTTGGAACTGAAAATTTGTATAGAATTTCATTACTCACAAAGAGTTTTCAAACATTGTAGTGTGTGACTTGTAAATAAAACTAAGTTGGCTGAAAAAAAAAAAAGATTTGTTTCCTGACTCAACGCGCACGGCTTACACGCGAGAGCTCCACGCGAGCCCAGGGGAAAAAACACAGGGCTAAAAAGGTGCCCTTTCTGCCCTTTCTGCCTGATCTGTCCGATAAATTGTATGTTTCAAACAGTTTAGTTCAGTTTTAACCAACCTTTCAGAGGGGAAACATGAAGAGACTAAGATGTAAACATTGTCCGATTCCAGGTTGCGGGTCTAGCTTGAATTCGCATTACCTAGTGGCGTTCAAAAGCCCGCGTGATAGTAGTCAAGTCAATCATTTAGCAAGACAAATGTTTCCCGGTCATGTCAAATACATGCAAGAAGCTTTTGAGGATGCGACAAAAAGACCCTATGGATATTTATTTTGCGATCTTAAACCGGAAACACCCACCGACTTCCGGCTGCGTACGAATATTTTCCCCGGGGAGACTCAGTACGCTTACCTCCGAAAAGTATAAAAAGCGTGAACCACATCATTTTTCTTCAGTTGAGGATGGCACAGCGACTGAGAAAGAACCACGATTTTCTGAAGCTGCTTGTCAAGTGTACCCCAGCTCAGCCTAAAGCCATTTTGAAGGTGGCAGACGACGCTTTAGTAAGAACCATTTGTGAGTGTGTTTTAAACGTGCTTAAAGAAACAGTACCAGTCAGTAAGCCAGCCAAGAAAAAGCTTTTGCCTCACAAGAAATCTTTGATCGCTTTAGCCGAAAAAAGTACACCACTCGATAAGAAAAAGAAATTGTTGGTACAACACGGAGGAAATTTTTTAAGTGTTTTGCTACCTCCCGTTCTCCGTGTGTTAAGTTCGATTCTTACCTAAAATGAATCATACAAGGCGCATGGTTCTCGTGCCTGAGAACACCTTGGAAAGATTACAGCAACGCCAGCAGATACTAACCCCACCCGTCACACAAACTCTGAGAAACTTGGATAGTGAAATGACCGATATTTTATCCAGTCAAGAACTTGAAGACGGACAAAAAGCTAGGCTTTACAACCAAGTGTTGCAGCGGTACTTGACTTATTACGATAAGCGAAAAGGTCAACCTCTTCAAGTGAAAATGTCAACTCCCAAAGCAATAGAAACACCTAAAGCAGAAGAGAACGAACAACCTACTGAAGAACCTGCCCCAGAAAAATCTATTTCATCCGCCGTAGAGCAAGAAGTCATGAAAAGTGTACCGAAAATTTACAAAACCGAGGCTAGACAATTGTTGGATAAAATTAAGGAGCATCAAGATGTCTTGCATTGGAATGATAAAGGAGAGCTGTTGCATATGACCAAACCCATTCCAGGTTCTCATCTAGTCGACCTACTCAACGACACTTTGGGTCACCGCAAAGGATTTGAACCAGTAGGATGGTCGGTGTTCACGAGGGGTCTGGCGCGAATGAATGTCCCGGAAAATCTAGTGCGTAATCCACAGAGGCAAAGTGCTATTCGAGACTTTAAAACAAGGGTGAGAGATGAAACCCCTAACAGTCCCTCCCGATGGTTACCTAGCCCACCCGTGACGGTTTCCCCAGTAAAAAAGACTAGCCAAAGAAACGCGAGTCCGCGCCCTCAGGCTGTGCGCTAGTTACGGTTATAAATCACCACAAGAGACATTCTTATTATTGTAAATCATCTCTTTATTTTGTTCACTCAATAAAAAACGTTGAAAAGAAATGACACGGTGTTTGTTTATTGAACGTTGTGCTGGGTTCGTGCTCTTTGCTTGTTTACATCAGTGCGATATTTCGGAAGACTTATAGGAAAATGTTTTTCAATAAATCGCTTGACAAGACTATCATTTTTACTTGTGTTTATAGAAAAACGATGGATAATAGTACTCATACTTATTTGCCGACTACGATATAAAGCAAAATACAAACAGTAATGTCCGCAGACTTTGGAATAGATGCTTTGTAATGTCACAGTATTAAAAATCCACTGGTTAGAATTGTTGTTTAAAAAGGTAGTAAATGTTCCTGAATATTTGCTGGGAGGTGCTCCGTAAGAATCGAAAAATCCTCCCTCGTGGTCCTTGGTGAAATAAAACGCCACCCAATGCGAACCTGGCTTGTCACTCGTATCCACATTGGCGATGTATAGGGCTGGGTATTGCGAAACACTTGCGGGCAGCTTGTCTGAGGGATACACGCCTTGAAACACACCTCGTGTAAATTTGTCCTTTCTCAAAATAAGGGTCAGTTGAATGGTGTCCATTTTTAGTTTGTGTAATCGTAGAGAACGTTTCGGTTTGCGTCGAACTCAATCACGTTTTGAAATTCAGCGTAGATGATAAGGTTAACCGTGTTAGCTAGTGCTTCCGAGAAATGAAGCTCCAAGCGTAGGTTTCCTTGTTTTATGAGCTCGAAATGATCTCCAGGGCAGTGATCTGGGGTCAAATCAAAGGCGAATAAGGTGTAACCAGAGCCGTAATCACTTATATTTATCTGATTGCCCGTATCCTGGGAAAGCTTTCCAATACCAGAGAAAAGGCTTTGATAGCCAGCTATTACATTTTGACCAACAGCGGCGTCAAAATTTAGGAACAAAGGTTTTCGGGGGATTTGTTCTCCGTCCACGTAC